ATTGATTCATAGACTAGCTTCTACAGGGTTATCTGTTATTGAGGTTACAAGTTTTGTGTCTCCCAAATGGGTCCCACAGGTACAACTGCTTTACCTTATTTGTGGTAAATTGATATTGATGATTTTATAGAGTGTTGGGTTGAGTAAATTTGTACCAAAGTGTTTGTATCTGAAATTAGTTCTCAATCTCATGGATCATGTGGAGGCTTTTGGATGGCTTCTGTTGGATAAAAGTCATTCAATTGTACAATAATTTAATATCTTTCATGGAGAAAAAACTAGTTCAATTATAGAAATCTGAATGACTTATTCCATTCCATCTGATTTTGAATCATTATGTTTCTTTATCTTATAGTTGGCTGATGCAAAGGATGTAATGCAAGCAGTAAATAACTTAGGGAGCATCAGAATGCCAGTTCTGACCCCTAATTTAAAGGTACAAATATCTTGATAAAACCATAAATTGTACAATTTATATTCCGATCTGTGACATGTTACTTTTGTAGGGTTTTGAAGCTGCAGTAGCAGCTGGTGCCAGAGAAGTTGCTGTTTTTGCATCAGCTTCTGAATCATTTTCAAAATCCAACATTAATTGCAGTATTGAAGAAAGCCTTGCTCGTTACCGAGCTGTTATTCGTGCTGCTAAACAGCTCTCAATTCCTGTTCGAGGGTATGCCATTAATTTTCTTCTTAATCATTCTAAGATAACATCATATGATATCACTGTCTGCTTCAATATCGGTAATGGGTAAAACCTTTCAAAAGGTGGCAAGGCCAAGGTCAAATTCCAGTAATTGGATGCATGAAAGTGTCATATCATATCAGTTGATATTGTAGATTTTGCTGACACAACATTATTTCTCTACTCTCTTATTCCACATGACAAACAGTTTCTTTACATTGAAATGTGATAGGTATGTATCATGTGTTGTTGGATGCCCGGTAGAAGGACCAATCCCTCCCTCAAAAGTGGCATATGTTGCTAAAGAACTTCATGATATGGGTTGCTTTGAAATCTCCCTTGGTGACACAATTGGAGTTGGCACACCAGGTAACAACTTATTCTGAACTTTGGAAGTTTAAGCAATATATGCTTGATAGACAAGATTCTCTATTATTGTAGACATCCTGCGTATAAACTTGATAAGGTTGATGAATGTAAAACTAAGTGTCTTTTTTCTGTCTTTTACTGAGAATGTTATTGGTTTCTGGTATATTATCCTTGTACTTATATTGTGTTGTTTTCAGGAAGTGTAGTTCCTATGCTTTTGGCTGTGATGGCTGTTGTTCCAATAGAGAAACTAGCTGTCCACTTCCATGACACTTATGGCCAATCCCTTCCAAATATACTTGTGTCCCTCCAAGTAAGTCCTCAACTAAATTGCTTGGTTGGACCTTTCACTGTGTAAAACTTGTTGAGTTAATCAGTTGTTTCATTATGATTGTTTGAGAAAGAATAAGCAAAAGGAATACTGGTGTAAATGCATGACAGTATGACAAACTAGTGTTAGTCCAATGTTGCATGGACCTCAACCTCATTACATATGTAACATGTTTGGTTATGGTTGAACTGTATACTGTCAAAAACGATTTTTCTTCACTTGCAACGATAGCATGCAGACATGCCATAGATGAATTTAATTAGTAATTTGTATGTGAACAGATGGGGATTAGCATAGTGGATTCATCCGTTGCTGGGCTTGGTGGATGTCCATATGCTAAAGGAGCTTCTGGAAATGTTGCGACTGAAGATGTTGTGTACATGTTGAATGGAATTGGTGTGAAAACCAACGTTGATATTGGAAAACTTCTGTTGGCTGGTGACTTTATCAGCAGCTATTTGGAAAGGCCTTCAACTTCAAAAACTGCCATTGCCTTGAACCGAGTTACAACTGATGCCTCCAACATACCATCATGATTCATCTTCTTAACTTTACCTTCAAAGGAATATTTACATTATCACTCATCACTGCATACATATATTATGTTCCTTTCTTCTTCTGCATGCTACTACCAGGAGAATAACATCTTCACTCTGGAATCACTTAATTTCTAAGTAAATAATTAATTTAGTCCTTCAAATTATATACTTAATTTCGATTTTGAAAATTCAACGTGAGAATTTTCCAGAAAGTGCTACTGCGGTCATGATTTGCAAAATCAGTTTTATATACTTAATTTTTACATAATAAAATTTAAAATAAATAGGTTTTTAATGTACAATTAAAATCCTAAAGCATCTTTGGATGTATTGAGTATGGTTTAGCTTTACGGTAAATAATTGAAAGTTTAATTCAAAAGTAGTATCACAAATGAGTAATTTTATTATGTATGAAATTTTAACGACGTGTTTATTTTTCATATTTGAAGTAAGCAATTCTAATTCACAGATAATAAGCTATTAGATTGTAATAAATATATTGAAGAATTCGTATTACTATTTATTCGTGTAGGATGTACAGGTGTTCACTATTGGGTTGTGTAGAATTTAATCAAATTCATTATTCAACACACATTTTAATTATATTTTTCATACATAATTCACTCTTGGATGAGTTGGATTTAGTTGGATTAAGATATTGAAAAAAATTTCTTATGTTTTTGTTAAAAATTGTATTTTTCAAGTATTTATCTAATTTAAAAAAATATAATTCTCAATAAATCAAATCATAATAAAATTTTCAATTTAAGACATTCAAAAGTATATTACAACCGGTCCATAAAATAAATATGGTCCATAAAATAAATTTACGAATGAGTGTCAAAGTTAAAAATAAGTCAGCTAAATTTTGTTCATTTTTTTTAATCAAAATTTTATAACCAGACGTATAACAGGTTAATGAATTTGTGGGTTGATCCACTTAAAAAATATTAATTTATTTTTCATATTTATCACATTAAAATTAAATACATTAACTCAACTCATTATTTTATAATATTTTTAATAGTAACAAAATCAAAATATTCATTTATTTTATCAAACATTTGTAACATCCCAAAAATACACTATAAAACCATATAGAGAATCATTACATATTAACAATACTACAAATCAGTTCAACATCCGTCTAACATACAAGTAAGGACGACCGTCTTTACATAACAACAAAGAATGTAAAAACTAACACTAGCTTGAGACCGAACAGTGTATCAAATAATACTAATACCGAACGGTCTTACAAAAGGTACAGCTAACACCAGACCGAACGCTCTCAAGGTTCGGCCTTCACTTCTGCTGCGTCTTTCAATACTTCTTCCAGTAGCTCTTCTCCTTTTGCTCACATCCACACGGATGATCATTGCAACATGACAACGACAAGACGCACAACAAAGACAAAAATGATAAACAGGGTAAGCTTATGTAATTTAATATTTATCCAATCACATCATACAATATTCATAACAAAACCAACAATGACCACATCATAATTCTTACATCAAGGCATGCAAATAACGACCACATGACTCTAACTGTCCGGACTGTATGAATCCTGTGTAGCTACGACGTTCGTGCACCCGGATGATGTAGTAATTGGGATACCCTCAACAACTGTCACCCGATGTTAGTCCGTTCCATCCAAATTAACCATAAGGACTAGGACCTCCTGACATTCCCACACGTGACTTACTCCTCTCTACATGAGAACGAGTAATCATGGAACATCAGGATGAACGCCAACTAAGCTTTGCCCACATTCATACTTTACCAATCAATAACCACTTTCTGAGATATTCCTCCCTGGAATACTCTTTCATAATCAAACTATTTCATTCACATCACATTTCAAATTCTCTCTTACTTTATCATCCATATATTCAAAGGAAATAATACCATACGTTCTTATCATAGCCCAAGTACGACTGGTATAACAAGACCGAGCGTTACTCACCTATTTCAATAAACAGACTCCTAAGAGTTCAAACCGTACGCCACGAAGCCTAGGCCGAGTACTAAGACTCTAGGCCGAACACCTTTTAAAGACCAACACTAACTTATACTAAGTAATAATACTGATGAGAAACTATGAATTAACGAATGCTATCTAGTTTGAATAAATACTCTGATTTTAAGCACAGTAATACTATATTATAGAAAACAAGACCCAACGCTTGGTTTAAGACCGAGCCTTGTAGAAACCAAACACTATTGAACGAGCGTTGGTCCAAGACCAAATGCTTATCAGGAACGAGCGCTACTGAGACTGAACGCTTGATCCAAGACCGATCACTAATAAACTCACATAAAGTTGTTTAGAAAGTCTAAAGAAGGACTACACTTAAGTCGGACACTCATTATACATATCTATTATTATAACCCGAACTCCACTAATGAAATTCCTTGTAGAAGAAGAACTTAATGTAGACGGACGCTTAAAGAGTAACAAAATGGTTAATATGAACTCTAGGTCAAAGTTTAACTAATACTATATAGTATTACAGGAAGACTCTTATACTCTATCCTCAAAACATGAGAACTAAGGTAAGACCATGTACTCCCAAGAAAACCGAACGCTCGCTAATGACGCTCGACCATGCTAATCACCTTTGCTCAAAATACTACGGTTCAAATATTAAACTTTATCCCAACTCAGTTCACAGCTTATATCATATGTTCATCCACACATCCAAACCAGCAGTACAATCATATTTCATACTCCTCGAATAATCACACGTATCATGCAAGCATATAAACATTCCACACAACAAGCTAAATTAAATTATATAAGCTTCCCTTACCTCGACACGTAACCGAATGCTCAAACGAAGCAAAATAGAGCTTTCCTCTACCAAAGAACTAACGTTCGACGGCCACGTTTTTAAGAATACTGAACTATAGAGAAAACCAGAAACATTCAGAATACTACCACCCACTCGGGCGACCAGAACTAGAGAGTTGCATGCGAGTCTAACCGAATGTGCTAAAAGAAAAAGAACTCACCAGCTCAGAATCACAAACTGATCAGTTTAACTAGAAGCTTTTGACGCCGGGAGTGCTCCAGCGGTGCCTGAGAGGTGATCGGAAGAAGAAATGGTAAGGTTTTCTTAGAGAGAATGAGGAGATTTTAGAGAAAAGAAGGAGAAAATGATTTCAGCAAGGTGGGGAAGAAGAAAGACATGCAGAGAAATGACACGAACGGTCACTCCCATGCAGCCACCTGTTCTCCATTAACTTCACTCACTTCTTGGCACCTGAATCCCACTACTTGGGGTTTTGGGTGCGATTTAATGGGGTCTAACATTATTTATTATAAATATAATATTAAAAATTAAAGTGTAACTTACCTAATTTAATAAACAAATAAATTAATTTAATAACCTACATAAAAAATTATAAAAATTTGGTAAAAAAACTAATAAATAATTATTGTTCTTTAACCACACTTAAATCCATTTAATTTATGAGTCAAGTAAGACGAATCTAATTTAACTCATATTTAAAAAAACTAAAATATTTCTAATTCAAACTTATGATAAACGAGAATAATTCACGGATTAAATCCTTCTTAACATCTCAAGTCAACAAATAGATAATTTATACTAAACATATCACTCAATTATTAAAAATAAGTTAATTTAGATTTAATCGTTAAAAATAAGTTAATTTAGATGGGTGGAATTTGAACCGATCATAATTAAACTCATATTTATTTAATTGGATTTGATTGATTTCAAACCAAATGAACATTACATTACCAACCAATTATGCATAACAATAAATTGTATCAATATTGAATAAAAATGATTTAGTTTTTAGAAACTAAAAAAACAAATGAGTTATTATATTTTTATTACAATAAAATTACTCATTAAGATTGCACAAACATATTTAATTTAATTTAAATCACAATATAAAACTATTTTTTAATTATTAACAACTTCCATAAAAAGATTAAAGGGCAGATTAAAATATATGAAGTCAAAAGGATCAAATGTATTAATTAATAAAAATAAAAGGAAACCAATATATGAAATGTACCTTTAAAAGATAGAACAATATTATAATGTTTAACTGAGAGAACGAGGTTAGCACAATTGTCAAGTTATATATTCCAATTTAATATAAGATAAACTAAAACAAGGGAACCAAAAATATTTTTGGCATTTAGCTTGTTAACAAGAAAATTTATCTTAAAAATGTTGGGATAATATCGAACTAATAGAAAATTTATCTTAATATAACATTCAATCCAAAAATTTTAAGAAAATAAATTTGTTATTTTAGACTTTTTTTTTATCCACCTTTATACCCAACATACACTTTCTAACACATAAGAAGTTGCATTCTTGTACCATAATGCAAACCCCATAATAAAAATGTCCATGCCATTGCCATCATGCACCAAAATGTCTCCCTTTTAGTTTTAAATTTCTACAAGAAAGTTGTTAATTATTTAGGGAAATTGAAACTAGGGTTCTTTCCGTTAAACTTTAGAAAAGCAAGAAAAACATAGTTACCCCTTTTACGAGCATGCTGATAAAGAAATTTTAATCTTTGACAGTGTTGGTCTTTTTGAAATACGAAACTGTAGTTTGTGTCATTGTGTGATGATGTTCTTGGTAGCTCGTGACAACACGAATCTGACAACACTCATAGGATGATTTCATCCTCCTACGTATCATGTCAATCCTAAAATAATAATACAAAAACTTCATGCCCATGCCATCTTCAACACTGCAAAATTGACCATGCAAATTCAAATTATCTGTATAACACTCACAAAACCTAATTATGACATTATCAAAGACAAAGCTAACTCATGATGATGAGGGACACCACCACTCTCAAAGTTCAACTTAGCAAAATCATTGTCTTCTGATCCTGTTAAGTCTTCGCTGACAAGAGACACATTTTCTTCTTCTACTTCTTCTTTTTCTTCTCTGTCAAAAGATTAAAATAAAACATGCAATTTGTTGAGTACATGAGGCTATGATTAAGGTAAGGAAATAAATTGGTGCACAAGCAAAATGAAATAATGAAGGTTTCTTTTTACTTTTCTTTTGGTTCCCTTTTTTACCAGTCAAAGCCATGGCTCCCCTTTA